ACCCATCAGGTCGTCCTGGACCATGGGGCCCTGGCCCATCCATGGAGCCCTCGCCCTCCGCCGCGACCTTCGCAGAGACTCCGACATTCATTGGCTCCTCGCCCACAACCGCCCTCCTCCTCAGCCTCCTCCTCCTCCCACTCCTCCGACTCCTCCTCGCCTCCTCCTCCCCCTCCCCCTGGTCACCGCCATCGTCATCGCACCCATCGCCATCGCCATCGCCATCACCCTCCCCACTCATCGCTATCGTCGCCATCATCATCACATTAATCATCCACCTCTCGTCGCTCTCCCCCCTCCTCCTCCCCCTTCCTCCTCCCCTGCTTCTTCCTCATCGCCACTGCCGCATAATGATTAATAATCCTTTGCTGCGTCGGCATCAGCATTATTGCAACCGCTGTTGCCCCCACCATGACAGGCCGCCGTTGCTTTCCGCATCGCTTTCTTTTCGTCACCATCGCCATCATCACCACAGCATCATGATCACCGGATCGTGTTCCTCATTATTTGTTTTTTGCTCTGCATCACGATCCGAACAGTGCTCCTCTTCTTCCTTCTACCCCCCATCCTCGACCTCCTCCACTTCTTCCTCCACCTCCTCCTCCCTCCCCCCCTTTTCCTCCTCCTTTCCTTCCTCCCCCTTTTCCTCCTCTCCCTCCTCCCTCCGTCCTCCCCCATCCTCCTCCTCCTACTCGTCCTCCTCCTCCCCGTTCTCCTCCGCCTCCTCCCCCACCCCCCTCCCTCTCCTTCCTCCCCCTGCCCCTCCCTGTTCCCTTCCCTTCCTCCTCCTCCTCTTCAACCTTCTCCTCCTTCCTCCTCCTCCTCTCCCTCCTCCTCCTCCATCTCCTCGTCCACCACCTCCAGTGCAGCGCGCGCCGACAAAGCTGCCCCTGGCGCGAGCCCCCCTGAGCCTGCCCGAGGCTTGGTGGGGTGGCTGCAGGCGGGGGGGCATCCTCCACCATGGCTCACATGCAGAAGACGGAGCTCTGCCGGTTCAGAGGTGAAAATTTCCCCAGGCAGGGGGATGGGATGGGGGCGGGACGGACGACGACGGAGCCCATCATCCCGCCCCCGCCCCGCCCCCCCTGCCGGGGGTAAGTTTCACTTCTATGAGGTTCTATTGGAACAGCTACAGCGGGGCTAATATGCGCTGCAGCCGCGGCGACCGCTGCGGGTGCCCTTCCCGCGATGGGCCAGGCAGGGCGGACAGGAAGGCTTGAGGTGGGACGGCGTCTCGGGCCTGCAGGGCCCAGTGGAGGGTGGTCTGGCCGGCCTCCGCCTGCTGCTGCTGCTGCTGTTGCTGCTCCCCCCACTGGAGTGAGGAGGAAAGGGGTGGTGGGACGAGAGGGGCCTCCCCCTGACGATGAGACGACTACCATGCTTTTTATACCCGAAGGCTAGGGGCAAGAAACAGTACCGAGTTCAAAGGCAAACGAGACGACGCGTGAAGAATCATCTTCTCGCACTCCCCATCCGCGGGCTTCAGCAACACCGCGCTGGTGAAATGCATGATGCGTGGGCTTATATCCCTCGCGGCCCCAGGGGGCTTATAATGCGTGAACACACAGAAAAAAAGGGCGGGCCCCATGGGGGGCATCATCCACAGGCAGGGGGATGCGCTTGTCCAAGGCCAGCGCATATTCAATTAAATGAGGAGGAGGAGCAGGAGGAGGGGCCAGGAAGAGAGAGGAGCAGGAGCAGGAAGAAAGGATCAAGTCATATTTGATATCTGACTGAAATACATGCAGTATTTGCACGCGGCAGCAGTGTATGCATCATATACATGTTCACCACCCATGCATATACATATTTGTGTACATATACGTATTCACATACATACGTTGGCATTTACATAATATGTTCGTCTGATGTTGTTACGCGCGGGTCCCTGCGACAACTCAGAAGCATATGCATATACGCGTACTGACACATGTGTAAACACACGCGCACATCATGCACATACTACCTCGACATGCACACCACACACATCACACACATCACATACACGTGCAGTGCCAGGAACATCGCCGGAAACGCCAGGGAAAGCCCCGCCTCGTGGCCCAAAGACAGCCCAAGACAGGCTGGCCCAGCCAAGACGCGAGAATAGTTGCCATTGCAATGGGGGGGCTAACTAAGAAGTCAGGAGGGCAGCTGAGTTGTTGCCCTGGGGGGCGGGGGGGGGGGGGGCGGGCGTTCCCAGGTGCGCCCGCTCGATGGGCGAGCTCATGGTCGCCCCATGGAACGCGACCCGTGGCATCCACTACAAGATAGCATGGGCGCTCTGCGCACCCCCGCCGCCCCGCCGCCTGCCGGGCCTGGGGCATCATGCGCGCTCGCATTGATTGGCGCGTAGCGCAACGCAGGATGAGGCCGCCACCTCCGGAAGAACCCGCGCGGGGGGCTGGGCGGGCGAAGCGACAGGAACGCAGGCGATGGGTGGGCGGGGGGGAGGAGGAGAGAG